CTGACACGGTCCTGCCTTCGCGCTCCACCGCCGCCAGTTGCATGGCCGGGCCAGTAAGCTCCTTGGCTAGCACCTCCTTCTCACAGGCCTCTCGCTCCAGCGCCTCCGCCTGCCGCTGTGCCTCCCGCCGGGCTTGCTCCAGCTCCTGCTCCCGCAGGCTCAGCTTCCGGGAGAGCTGGGGTAGCTGCTCCTGCAGCCGGCTACGTTTATGATGCAGCGTGGGGAGCTGCTGTTCCAGAGCTTCCTGGACCTGCTCTGCCACTCGTAGGGAGCCCTTCAGGCCCTGTCCCGCCACCTCCTGCTCCAACCGCAGCTCCTCCAGCCGCCTCCTGCTCTTCCTGCGCCACTGTGGCCTCCTGCTCCGCCTGCTGCTGCCGGCCCTGCAGGGCTGCCTTTTCTTCCTTCAGCTGGGTGACAAGGCTGTTCAGATCCAATTTGTCCTGAGTGAGGCTCTCGTTGAGGGCTCTCAGCTTGGACAGGGAGTCCTGCATGGAGGCCCCCTCTGCCGTCAGCTTGATCAAGGAGAGCTCGAGCTCCATGCGGCCAGCCTCAGCCTTGGTCAGCGCCTCAGCCACCTCGACCTTCTCAGCCTGCAGCATGTCTCACTGCAGTGTGACGCAGCTCAGCGTCTCTCTCACCCCAACCAGCTCCTTGGCCAGGCCTCAGCGCTTCTCCTCCAGCTGCTCTAGTTGTTTATGGTGCGCTCAAGCTCCTGGCGCACCCTTGCACCATACTGCATCGTGCGCTCCTGCTCCTCCTCCACCCGGTCCAGCGCCACAGCTCTTCCTGGGCAGCCTGCAGCTTCTCCTGCTCCTGCTGCAGCTCCTCGGACTGCTGCTGGGCCACCTGCAGGCGGTAGACCAGGGTGCTCTTCTCCCTGCTTAGGAGCTCATTGGTGCTCCGCAGCCGCTGTACCTTGCACTGGGTGTCCTTGTGGGCCTGCATGGCACCACTGGTCTTGTCCCACAGGTGGTGCAGCTGTTCCTCTGGGGCCCGCTGCTCACCCTTACTGTCCCTAAGCTGCTTCCCCAGGGTGCCCAGCAGGTCCTGGCTTGTCTCATAGCACCCACACGTGTCCTAGACCTGCAGTTGGTGCTTGTGCAGGGCGGAGTGGATCAGGGCGAGCAAGGAGGAGTTTGACCTGGCCAGAGACTGGCCTCAGCGGGACTAATGGCTGCAGCCCAGCGAGGAGCGCTGCGGTGGGGATGGGATCTGCTGCCCTGAGAGCTTCTGCAGGCTGCCTTCCAACGCATCTGCGGTGTGCTTGTAGCTGCTCAGCTGGACTCTGCTCTCAGTGTCCAACAGGACTGCCTGTGCCAGGTCCCTCAGGGTCTTCTGCAGGCCCTCTCCATCCTCTGTCTCCAGGGCCACCTGCTCCTGTTGCCGCAGGGATTCCAGGGCCTCAGGCTTCTTGGTGAGGGCCTTGTTAACCTGATCCCTCTCCAGATTCTGCTTCCAAAGAGGCTCCACTACCAGGGCCAGCTCTGTCACTCTGGCACTGAGGTTGTCCTTGTCCAGGTCACTTTGTGTCTGCTGCTGGTCTAAGTCCTTCTTGCAGAGCACCCTGTCCCTTAGCTGCTCCTCCAGCTGGGCCTGCAGCAGGGCCTGCTTCTCCAAGGTGGCTTTGGGCCAGCTCTCTGCCGGCCACAGGTTGGTGCTCAGTAGCAGGCCCGCCTACTGGACAGGGCATGATAGCCCAGCCAGCCCCCTTCTTAGCTGCAGCAGGTCTCTCTCAGTGGACATCCTCACCTTGCTGACCAGCCACCGGATCCCAACCACTGGCTTCAGAGGAGTAGCATGCAGCTGTGCTCGTTGCAAAAGTAAGTGTTGAAGGACTCCTCCTTGAGCCTCCATGCCACCTCCCGCTGCTCCAGCTCCTTGTGGCTGCATGTGTCCAACCACTGGTCACCTTTCGTATGTCCTCACTCAGAGCCTGGTTGGCTGAGCCTGCCTGGTCCAGCTGCTGTCAGAGCATGGCATTCACCTGGGCTAGGCTGGCGCTCCTCTGCTGCTCCTCTTCTAGCCAGATGAGGGCCCTCTCCAGGTATTGGCTGTGCTCTGTGCCCCTCAGCCGCTGCTGCTCCAGCTCTCTGGACCTCTCCAGCAGCTGCTGCTCCAGCTCCTTGCACCTCTTCTTGTACTGGAGAATCTTGGCCTGCAGCCGCTGCACAAGCTGGGCCTGTCGCTGTTGGCCCTCCTGGTAGGCCTGCAGCTTGTGCCTGTAAGAGGCCTGCTCCTCCTGCAGCTGCCTCCACAACTCCACGCTCTGCCCTGCCAGTCCCCTGGGCTCCTGCATCTCCAGCTCCCCAGACTCCAGCACATTGTACATAATGGCAAGCTCATCGCTTGGCTCGGCTCTGGGCCAGCAGGTCCTCCAGGTGGGACAGCTCCTGCTGATGCATCAGCTGGTTCTCCTCCTGCAGAGACAGCAGTGGTGCCATCTCTGTGGCCTGCAGTGGGACTGGGATCTCAGGCCGGGAGAGGTTACGAGTGACAATCTCCCTAATGCAGGCAGGCAGGCTGACCGGCTCAATGTCCTGGGCCAGGTCCCACGTGACCAAGCACTTCTCCTGGCACAAGACTTTGCTCTCCAGTGTCTGGATAACTGTTTCCAGTGTCAGCTGGGCTTCCTGTGTCCCCACCAGCCCCAAACTAATTCAGGGGAGGGTGGCTGTGGGCACCCCTCCAGCCCCCTTCTCCAGGACCCCAAGACTAGCTCAGTCAGCACGCCCCACAGCCAAGCTACTGTGTTGAGCACCAGGCAGATTAAGTTTAAATCTAGCGGTGCGCCCATGTGACCACAGTGATGGGAGGAGCAGGATGGGGGCTGAGCGGGGAGGGGATGGGCAAGGACAGGAGAGAAGGGAAGGAGAGGCAGGGGGTAGCCGAGGGAAGAAGAAGGAAGAGGAAGGATGAAGGTGAGGGGAGGAGAAGGTAGAGAAAGGGAGGGAGGAGAGAGAAGAGGGAATGAGGAGGAAAGGAGTTGGGGGAATTTTTATTTCTTCATACAGCTTTGAGTTCCTATCTGGTATCCTTTCATTTCATTTTGCAGAACTCTCTCGAGCAGTTCTTGTAGGTCAGGTGCAGTGCTAACAAACGATTAGCTTTTGTTTATCTGGGAATATCTTAATTTCTCCCTCACTTTTGAGGAACAGTGTTGCCAGATATAGCATTCTTGGTCAACATATTTTTAGTACTTTGACTATATCAGCCCACAGCCTTCTGGCATCTAAAGTTTCTAAAAAGAAATTAACTGACAGTTTCATTGAGGATCACTTGTATGTGATGAATCATTTTTCTCTTGCTGCTTTCAAAATTCTTCTGTCTTTGTCTATTGAAATTTGCATAATAAGGTGCCCTGGTTTGGGTATCTGTCAGTTCATCTTATTTGGCATTCACTGAGATTCTTGGAGGTTTATATTCATGTCTTTCATAAAATTTGGTAAGTTTTTAGCCATTATTTCTTCAGATATTTTATTTGCCCCTTTCTCTGTCTCTTTTCCTTTTTGGACTTCTCCAGTGCATATGCTGATTGGCTTGGTGGTGTCCACAGGTCCCTTAGGATCTGTTCATCCTTCTTTCAATCTTTTATCTACCTGTTCCTCAGACTTGGTAATTTCCATTGTCCTATCTTCAAGATTGCTGATTCTTTCTTTTGGCTGCTCAACTCTGCCTTTAAACCCCTCTGCTGAAATTTTTATTTCAGATTTTGTACTTTTCAATGCCACAGTTTATTTTTGGTTTCTTTCTTAGGCTTTCCATCTCTTTCTTGATATTTCCATTTTGTTCATACATGACTTTCTTGAGCATTTTTAGGAGAGTTGTTTTACAGTCTTTGTCTAGTAGATCTGCTGTCATATCTACTAGATCAGGGACTGTTTTTGTTGGTTGATTTATTTTTTCCTTTGAATGTGCCACATTTTCCTGTTTCTTTCTGTAGGGTACAGCCCTACAGGGTCCAGTGAGTCCCTCTCTGCTAGTGTGGAGACAAGAAGTAAAAGACACAAGATATTCTGATTTGTATTCATGTTGGAAACATTTTTCTACCTCCTAGATCCATACAGAACACCTAGTTCTGGCTCCTTACCACATGCAGTGCCTGCCTACAGTTTAGATCGCTCTCCTAGCTTCTCAGACCTGTTTCCCTTGCTAGCCTCCAAGGCAGTGAAGCATCAGGTCCCATTTACTGCTCTGCATTCCTTCTGCTTCTGGGTGTTAGAGGTTTCCTGTTTTACTTTTGAGAGTGGCTACTATTTTAAAAATATGCTGTCCATTGTTATGGTGTGTTTGGAAAAGAAGGTAGGGAAGCAATGGGTTAGGGTGATGTTCTTTCAGAGTTAGTTCAAACTGACCTCCTGACCCAAAGTTGCTACCCATCACTGAATGATAAAAGGCACATCTCATTTCCTTTTATTTTTATTTATTTTTTATTTTTTTTGAGACAGAGTCTTGCTCTGTCGCCCAGGCTGGAGTGCAGTGGCACGATCTCGGCTCACTGCAAACTCCGCCTCCCGGGTTCAAGCAATTCCCTCCCTCAGCCTCCTGAGTAGCTGAGATTACATGCACGCACCACCACGCCTGGCTAAATTTTGTATTTTTAGTAGAGACGGGGTTTCACCATCTTGGCTAGGCTGGTCTTGAACTGCTGACCTCGTGATCCACCCGCCTCAGCCTCCCAAAGGGCTGGGATTACAGGCATGAGCCACCATGCCCCACCTCATTTCCTCTTTTTTTAAAAAAATTACTCCTTATAGTTGAAAACAGAAGTACAACTAAGCAATAGGAATACGAAAATATTTAATCCTGATTATGTATTCAAAGGAATACAACATAAAAGATCAAAATAAACTATTTTAACCTATCAAATTGAGAGACTGACAAACCTGTTGTTAGACTCAGGGAGAGGTAAAGGGGAGTAGAAGGAAAGGATCAAGTTCCCTCTCCTAGGAAACAGAGTTAGCTCTAGCCTTAAAATAGAGATGATCAAGAAGGAAACATGCATCTACAGCCATACCACCCTGAATGTGCCCAATCTCATCTGATCTTGGAAGCTAAGCAGGGTTGGGCCTGGTTAGTACTTGGAGGGGAGACTATCCAGGAATACCAGGTGCTGTAGGCTTTTTTGAAAAAAAGGAAACACTTTAGAGAAGTGATGGGTTAAATACTGTATTGATCTTGAAGAAAGAGAGATGCACCCAGCTTGAGGCAATGAAAGGCAGTAATGAAGTTTTTAATCTATTTAATCAGAATTGCCACCATTGTCTCAAAAAAACTGTCATCCTGACTTGAGTGAGTAGTGTAACTTGGTACCCCAACGCTGGAGAGTTTTAAAAGCCCTAAGCCATGCATACCCTTTTGTGCACGTTCTAGGAATATATATCAAGGAATTGATCATAACTACGCCACAGTATTTATCCACAATGGTATCTGTCACTTATGAAAACAAGGAAAAATAACAACAGAAAGCAAACCAACCCCCACCCCTCAAATCAATGACAACAAAGGAAAACAACCAAGAGTGACTGGGGGATACATGATGGAACCTTCATACAAAAGAGTTACGAGGTAGCTTTGGATGTAGGAAAACACATAACAACATGGTAAGACAAACATGACAGTGGAATCCGATTTCAAAGTAGTATGTTTATAGTTTTATACACGTAAAAGATGCACACAAACTGAAAATTTGTCCAAAACCCAGCAATTTACCTTGAAGGCGGGGTGGGTAGGAGTAGGATGGGATTTTGCATGCTGTTTATATTTCCCATTTCTCAGTGTATTTGCTCTGGTGCCCCCGGAACTGCCTACTTGGCTGCTTTCTTGCCCTTTACTGACTCAGTCTCTTAGGTCCCAATCAATCTCTGGAGGTGGAATGGAGGGAAGACAGGTGGGACAATCTCAGGATGACCCCAGCTGCTCCCACTGGGGAGCTCCATTTGGAGAAAGCTCCCAAATATACCCCTCATCCAAGCCTTGGATTTCTTTTCTGCCTCATGAACCCCACCCAAAAAGGACAGGCTCATCTTACATCTTTGCTATTCCATTTCATCACTACTCCAGCCCAATTCCCTGCCTCTCCAGGGGGGATTGGGAGCTCAGGAAAAGAGCTACTGCTTGGGGTTCTATTTCAGACTTGGTTCCTGTCCTTGGTTTCTCTTTAAAATGGGGATAATGATTAGGTGGTTGTGGGATTATCATGAGATTAGAATGCAAAGCACCTAGAACGGCATCTGGCACATGGCAGGCTCTCATCAGAGGTCCGTTACCTTCACTTGGTTCCTTTTCCCCACAGTAACAAGGCTGCTCCAGGCGAGATCTGATGATAAACATTGAACAGCCATCATCATATTCGCTGCTTACAAGCATCCCAAAGGAGCCTTACTCGAGGTTGTGCACAGTTTGTCTGGCACCACACAGTAGGAAGAGCTGGGCTCAGGGCTTAGGGCTCAGTTCTCCTGGGCTCCCAACGGAGCAGAACTGGCCTTCCCACCTTCCCTTCCTCTGTGGCAGGGATGGGAGGGGTGGTCCTCCCTCTTCAGGAGGCCTTGGAGCCAGGCTCTGGGAGGATCATCCCCCATCTTGGTTTGCCAAGTCACTTGATCCCTGGAGGGGGAGTGGGACCATCAGGGACTGAAGAGGACCATCTAGACAAAGGGGTGGGAAGCTCAGGGACTGGGGCCCATTTCTCCCATGGTGGCAGATGCCATAGGGTGTTGGCACCAGTGCTTTTGGAGGGGTCCTCCTTGTCAGGGTGCTCTGACCCCTAGGGAGCCCTTAGCAACAGGAGTGCCCCCAGGGCTCCTAAACTCAGGCTGCACTCCTGAGTCTTTGCCACCTCCCTGTGTCCTCTGATGCCTCCCTCCTGGGGCCCTGTGGGCCTTCCTCTAATACTGCCCTCAGCCCTCCCTCCCTCACCTTCTGCCTACTTGCCAACCCCTGCAGCAGCCACTAGGGAGCTCTCTCTCCTGTGGGAGTCACTAGGGAGGAGGGCTCTGATGGGACAGTTTGCCTCCAAGGTCAGGGAAGGGAAGCAGGCTTCCGGGACCAGGTCCTTTATCTTCTCCAAGATTCTGCAGTAACCTGGATGGTAGGGAGGCAGTGGAAGGTGGCCTCGGGCAGGGGGGGTATCAGCACTACACAAAATGACCTGTGTGGAGTCTGCTTCAGTTCAGTTCACCATAGTTCACCCTCAGGATTCTACTGACTCCAGCACTTTTGATAACCAGACTCTAAAGCGGAAGAGGACTTATGTTTTGGGTCGTTTGAACAGACGTTGTAAACAGGACAAGCAGCCACCTCTCTAGGCCAGGCTAGGCTGTTGCCTGCTTCTCATGGGGCAGTGGTTTGGGTCAAGTTGGGTCTCAGCACAGCCTCTGAACAGGAAACACAGTCCCTGCCACAGCCTCCCCAAGCCCTCCCTCTTGGAGGCTTCTCCCTGCCAGTTCCTGGCCATGGGAGATGGTGACCTCACCACGGGGCTTTTCTCCACCCGGGGCCACTGCATCCCCCACCAGACACAGGAGGCCTCCAGTTGGGATTTTAGTGTATTAAATCAAGGACTTTTTTTTAAACTTAGAGAAAACAAGACGTGACAACACCAGAAACAAGAACATCTCTCTGGCCAGCCTGTGCTGACCAGTATACAGTAAATCACAACACACAGAAAAGCATAAGTCATTCCGGTCGGTGTCTGCATTTGTAGAAGCTCTGCTGCCTGGAAAACAGACTGCAAATAAATAAAGTGCATGGAGACCCTGTCACACAGCATGGACCCCGTTGGGGAGAGAAGAGAAAGGGAGGGAGTGGAGGAGCAGCAGGCGGGGCTACCACTTCAGGCAGCAGAAGTGAAAAAGCAGGGACAGGAGCAGATGCTGAGGGCTCAGCCCTGCCCCTCCCCAACCAGCCCCTCTAGGCCAATACAGCCACAGCAGAGGCCACCGGGGGTGGGCAGACGTGGACTTCCGTGCCCGTCTTATGGGGTGGGGCTCCCTGCAGTGGGAGGGGGATCTCTGAGGGTAGGGACCCCTGTGACTCCAACATGCATTTCTCCCAGTAGGGAAGCAGTTTCCAGGGTCCCAAGCGGAGCCCCTTGCATGGGGAGGGCTCAGGTACCCCCCAACTCCCACACATGCACTCACAGAAGAGCTTTCCTCCACCCTTCCTCACTGGCCCAGGAAGAGGCTGGTGCTGGTGATCCAGTAACCCAGAGGGTGACACCAGGGGATCCAGTAACCCAGAGGGTGACACCAGGGTTTGAAAGGGCCACATCTGTGCATCAGACACCAGGAGGCCCCTCATTCCTCTCCTCCAGCACTGTGCCACTCTTGTCCCACGGAGGCTGCCCCCTAGAGATCTGTGGGAGGGACCAGTAGGCTGACAGGTCCCCAGAGGGGGTCCAGGGTGGACAGGGTAGGGGTGGATGAGAGGGGCCAGCAGGGTCAGGGGTTCCCAGGAGACTTAGCACAAGGAGGCACGCCATCAGGCCCTAGCTGTGGGAGACTGCAGGGGGCACGAGGCAGCCACCGTCCAGCCTCTTCTGGGGTGAGGCAGGTGGACAGCTTCATTCAGGACCTGGGTCCAGTAGGCAGCTGAGGAGGGTACATGGTAGGTGGCTGGGCCACTCTGTCCCTGGAGCTGGCTGGACTGCTGCGGTTTTCAGTCCCAGGAACTGGGAATGTGGACCCCGGGATACCAGTGCAAAAGATGCAGAAATGGGGATAGAAGGTGAGGGCAAGGGTCTCTTCTGGCTCCCCTCTGGGCTGCTCCTGACCATTGTGGTACACCAGTTAGCAGCACACCAGGGGGCCCCCAGGACCAATCCAAGCTGTGAGGATGAGATTCTCCTGTGTGATCCTGGGGATGGTGGGTCGAGCTTCAGGAGAGAGAATTGGGGTCATGCCATGAGTCCCAGCCCAGGCCCACCCCTGGTTTATCCCTTCTCACCTCCTGGTTATGTCATGTCTCCAGGAGCCACGACACCACCACCACCTCCACTCGGCCACCAAACTGGGAGGCTTGGGCCACTTCACTGCTGAGGAGCCCTTGGTGAAGCTCCAGGTGGGGTGGGGAAGCTAGGTTCTGTGGGGGAGAGCTTGGCTCCCCAGGGGTCCTGGAGCCCATCTCTCTGGTCTCCCATCTCAGCTGTCTGTCCTCCTGATCTTCCCTGTTACCTTCCATACTGCTCCAAGGAAAGCTAGACCCCCAGATTCCCTCCCCCGGGCGCCTGCCTCCCTTGGTGCCCTAGGAGCCCTATGCTTCCTCTCTGCTTCCCCCTCCCTCCTCCCACCATGCCAGGTCTTGTAGAAGACTGGGGAGGGGTGTGGGGGCCTGCAGGCCCAGGGGCACGCTCAATTCCTCCTCCTCCTATCTGCGTGTCAAGGGCAAATCCCCAACCTCCCCGAAGCCTCAGTTTCCTCTGTCATTAGGAGGGGGAAATGCACTCCTTCACAGTGCTGCTAGCAGATTTCAGTTCCCAGGGAACTCGGGCCTCCCTTCCCGAGCCAGGACTGGATCACTGGGCACCCCCACCCCATGAGCCTTTGTCCGTGCTGTGCCTCTCCTAGGAACTAGGCCCTTCCTCTCCTCCCGTTCAGGCCCTTCACTCGGCCTCTGCCCAGGCAGGTCCAGGGCCAGAGGTGCCCCCAGGCAAGGCCGGAGAAGGGGCGGGTCACGGTCTACAAACGCCAATGCCTGAAAGAGAAAAAAAGAGACAGATGGGGACCTGAGTTGCCTGGCCACCAGAGAGGTCCTTGCTTCCCCCAGGAATGGCGTCCTCTGCAAGCCCCTCCTCCATCTGCTCTGCCCAGCCCAGGCTGAGACCTGCTGTGTGCTCAGACAGGTCTCCTTTTCCCAGATCACTTCAGTACACAGTGGGCTTCTAGAGGCCGTCTGGGGCGGGAGGATGGGACTCTGGCCCTGGGAGGACCTTGCTAAGGGCCTTAGGGAGCATGGGCTGACATGGCGGAAGAGCAAGACTGTGGGGGAGGGGACGGTAGGAATGAGTCTCTCCCACTCTTCCCTGTTTCCAAATGCAGAGCTTGGGGGGTGCACTCAGGGAGGGGCAGGGGAGCACGAGGGACAGCAGGAGCAGGCACAGACCAGTCCTCTGGCCTCAAAGACAGGACAGGAGGCAGTTTGACCAAGGGCTGTGCAGGAGCTGCAGAGAGCCCCAGGGCTGATGGCTAAGAGAACAGACGTGGGACTTGGCCTAGAAGAGAACTGACCTCCCTATGCCCACCGACCTGGGGGAGGAGAAGGGTGGAGGCATCGTTGCTTTTTTAGGCCCTTCCCTGGGCCACCCCCACCCATTCCCCTCCATTCCCCAGGGTTCAGGGGATACCCTCCAGGCCTGTGCGGAAAGGGAGGCGGGCACTGGGGCCTGGGTGGGAGGGGGCCGCCCCTCACCCTATCCTGGAATCGTGACTGGGGAGGAGGGGAGAGCCTGCGGCTGCCTTTCCTTTCCCCAGCTGGGCTCCACAGCTCTTCGGGCTGGTTTGCCTCGGTACCTTTCATATTTCCCCCTGACCGCCAAGGTGCCCAGACATCTGGAGGGCAGAGCCACCGCCCCTCCCTCATTCCAACCTGTCGCCTCCTACCTTTCTGCTCGGGGCCTGGAAAGTCAAGTCGCCGCAGCAGAATTCCCTCCTTCCGGTTTCCCCCTCTTTGGCCAATGTGAGGCAACAGGTCGGCCGAGCCCAGGTAGTTTCTGGAGCCCGATGGCAGGGGCCTGTTCAGTGCGTTTCTGCGCGATCCGGTACCCCCGGGCTGAAGCCGGGGCTGGGCCCCGGGGACAGGGCCAGGGCCAGGGCTGGGCGGTCGTGCTGGGGCGGCGGAGGTCTAGAGTCCAGGGGCCTGTGCTGCCCCGCCCCCGCCCCCCGCCGCGGCCCAGCTGTCCTTCATGCCTGGGACCCGGCCGGGGGCGGGCGGGGACAAGGGCGCCCCTCCAGCCGGGCCTCTGCCGCCGCTCACTCAATCCGCACCTGCAGGCGGACGTTGAGCATCACCGAGGCCACGATGTAAAAGTAGGGGAAGTTCATGCGCAGCCGCCAGGCCAGGTCGAAGAAGGTGAGCAACGTGCGCGTGAGCCCCTTGCAGGCCGCCGCCGAGCGCGACAGACGCACCGCCAGGCCAGACAGGGTCGCTGCCGCCGCCGCCGCCGACAGAGCCGCTGACGCCGCCATGGGCCCGGGCCCCGCGCAGGCCCAGACGACCGATTGACCCGCAGGAGCGCGAGCCTCAGGACCGCCGGACCAGAGCACTAGCGCGCCCAGCCGGCCGCAGGGCGCCCTGTCCGCCCCGCCCTCTCCCCGCCCTCGCCTCGCCCTCGCCCCGCCCTCTCCCCGCCCTCGGGTTGCCCAGATCAAGCCGGGCCCTGGTGACCTCAGTCTCGGCCCCTCTTTCTCGAGCCCGCACAGCTCCGCCCCCTCCACACCCATTCACTGCGGGCCCCGCCCCGACATAGCTCCGCCCCTAGTATAGCCACGCCCCCAGCGGGAGCCTCAGTGAAGCCTTCGGCGCCACGGCCCCGCCTACTAGACACGCCCTTCAGATTTAGTTCCGCCCATCGCTCCCCGTCCCGCCCACACAGCCCCGCCTCTTTCCGAGCGCCTCTGGAGGCAGGAGCGAATTGAAGGGTGGATGGAGCTGCCAGGGATCGCTTTGACAGTATCTCCTAGGTGGGGCTGGAGTGGTGGAGGACAATCTGGAAGACAGATCTAGACAATCTAGATTAATCCCTTTCTCTTCTTAATCCATTGTTTGCCCTGGTGGCTGCACAAAGTTGTCTCAGGTTTTCATTTGCTCGTTTGTGACCTGTTTGTTTGCCGGTGAGCTTAAAAGCCCTTTCGTGGTTTCCTTCAATCTTTATTAAACGTAAACAAATCCAAACGCAGAAGCGTTTTTCCAGACTGTTTAATGAAGCAAGGAAATGCTCACACTTCGTTATGGCCATGACTTTTGAAAAACTGCAAGAAGTAGATTCACCCGACCCCATTCCAGTTTTCACAGGAAAGATTGATGTGGGTATTTAAGAACTCTCAAAATACCTGTTCGCCGTCACACTATGGTATCACACGTAACTGTTTAATGAACACAGCGGATTCATATACATTGATTGGGCAATAGTCCTTCCTACATGGTCGAGTAAGAGAAAAAAAAAAAAAAAAGCCAGTTCCAGAACCGCTAGGTTATTGTGTGGACATCACGATTTTTCAACAACACAACACATCCATGCATGGTATACATGCATCAAAAAATGCCAGGGCAGGAGGCAGGGCGCAGTTTTTCTTTTCTTTCTTTTTTTCCCTCTGTCTTCCAGGCCCACAATCTCTGCTCACTCCAATCTCCGCCTCCCAGGTTCAAGTGATTCTCTTGCCTCAGCCTCCTGAGTAGCTGGGACTACAGGCGTGATGCCAAGCCTGGCTAATTTTTTGTATTTTTAGTAGAGACAGGGTTTCACCATGTTGGCCAGGCTGGTCTGGAACTCCTGACCTCAGGTGATCCGCTCGCCTCGGCCTCCCAAAGTGTTGGGATTATAGGTGTGAGCTGCTGTGCCCCGGCCGGACATAGATTTTCCTGCCTGCAATCTCAGCATTTTGGGAGGCCAAGATGGGAGGATCACTTAAGGCTGGGCCTAGGCAACATAGCAAGATCCATGTCTCTACAAAAAATAAAATATATTAGTGGGATGTGGTAGCACTTACCTGTAGTCCCAGCTACTCAGGAGCCTGAAGTAGGAGGTTCACTTGAGCCCAGGAGTTTGATGTTACTGTGAGCTATGATCCTGCCAGTGTATGATGGAATGAGATGGAGTGAGACTGCCTCTACTACAAAAAGAAAAAAGCCAGGGCAGATATATCAAATGGCTCTATGTTGTTCTGGTTAAGACAATAGGAAGATTTACACCTTTTACTCCGCTATATAAGTATGTATACCCAAATGTATGTCTATACATATTCTTTGTATAATACGATGAAAAAAATAATTAATATTTGAAAAAGAAAGGGATGCAGAAATATAGACTTAAGCCACGTAGAAACCCTTTGTTCCAGACTGGATTGAACCCCATTTATTTGCAGATTCTATTGCTTCCAATCATTTCTGAAACCTCTCCTTGGCCTCATCTCATTTATTTTTTAACATTTTGTTTGTAAATAATTATAGACTCATGGGAAATTTCAAAAATAGCACCAAAAAGGACCTTGTGCCTTTTATCCAGCTTCCCTCAACAGTAACATTTTTTGTTGATGTAATGTAATATCAAAATCAGGAACTGAAATTGATACATTACTATTTACCAGACTACATGCCTGATTTCACTTGCAATATTTTTTAAACCTGCATTAATGTGTGACTGTGTGCACGTATAGTCCTAACAATTTTACACCATGTAAAGATTTGTGTAACCACAACTACAATGAAGATACAAAAATATTCCATCACCCAGAAAAACTCCTTTAGGTTACCTCTTTGCACTCACATTCAGCCACTCTGCATATATTATGTTAGATTTGTTTCCTCCTCTTTGGAGTGACTGCTAGTGGTATTGTGAGTTTTATTACATGTTAAATATTTGGTTTCCATGTGTTCATTGTTAGTATATAGAACTGCAACTAATATTTTAATTACATTATTAATCTTGAGATAATTGTATATTGACATGCAATTTTGGGAAAAAAACGCAGAGAGATCCCATGTACCCTTTAACCAGTTCCACTGGTTAATATCTTTCAAAACTATAGTACAATAGCATAACCAGGATATTGGTATTGACACAATCCATCTATCCTATACAGAATTCCCTCATGCTGCCCTTCTTTGACCAAGTCCGCTTCCATCCCATTCTCCCTCCTTAATGACTGGCAACCCCACTAATGTGTTGTCTATTTCTACAATTTTGTCATTTCAAGAATGTTAAACAAATGGAATCATATGACATTGTAACCTTTGGGAATTGACTTTTTTCACTCAATAACATTCTCTAGAGAGTCATCCAAGTTGCTGGGGTCTTGAAGTGTCAACAGTTCTTAATTTCTTTTTGCTGCTGATTAGTACTCCTTAGTATGGCTGTACCACAGTTTAACCATTCACCCAGGGTTATTCCCAGTTTTGGCTATTAGAAATAAAGCTGCTATGAATATTGATTTACAGCTATTATGTGAAGACAAATGTCCATTTCTCTGGGTTAAATGTCTAAGTGTAATTGCTGGGTCATAGGTGAATGTTAGGTTTTGTAAGACTCTGCCAAACTATTTCTCAAGTGGCTCTAGCATTTTATATTCCCACCAGCAATTTATGAGTATGTTGATTCTCTACATCCTTGTCAGGATAGGAGTTGGTGTTACCACTATTTTTTATTTTAAACGTTTTGATAGGCATATAGTGATATCTGATTAGGCAGATACCAATAATGAAGGTAAAAAATCGTTTTATGTGCTCATTTTCTGTCTGTATATCCTTTTCGGTAAAATGTTTTTTGCCATTTTCTAGTTGGACAGTTTCCTACTGTTATATCTTCAGACTTCTTCATATTTTCTACATGAGTCCTTTATCAGATATGTGGCCTGAAAATATTTTCCTCCCGGTCTGTAGATTGTCTTTTCATTCTGTTATCAAGGATATTATCTGAGCAAAAGATTTAAATTTTGATGAAATACAGTTTATTAGTCCTTTTTATTTATGGATCATGGTTTTGGTATTATGTGTGAGAACTCTTTACGAAGCCTTAGGTCCTAAAGATTTTTTTCCTGTGCTTTCTTTTTGAAGTTTTATATTTCACATTTATTTTGGTGGCCCACTTTGAGTTAACTTTTGTATAATATTTGAGGTTTAAGTCCAGGTTCAATTTTTGTTTATGGATGTCTAATTCTTAGAGCACAATTTGTTGGAAAGGGTATCCTTCCTCCACTGAATTTCATTTTCATCTTTGTCAAAAATCAGACTTGGATCTCTTTCTATGTGCTCTATTCTGTTGTATTGGCCTATGTGTCTATTCTTTCTTCATTACCACACTGTCTTTATTACTGTTGGGATATAGTATATGTTAATATGGGAGTATTCATCCATTCTCATACTGCTATAAGGAAATACCTGAGACTGGATAATTTATAAAGAAGAGGTTTAATTGGTTCATAGTTCTGTAAGCTGTCAAAGAAGCATAGCAGCTTTTGTTTCTGGGGAGGCCTAAGGAAGCTTACAATCACGGCAGAAGGCAAAGGGGGAGCAAACACATCACATGGGTGGAGCAGGAGAAAGAGAGCAGGTTGGGGGGTGCCACACCCTTTTAAACAACAAGATCTCATGAGAACTCACTCACTATCATGAGAACAGCACCAAAGGGATGGTGTGAAACCATTCATGAGAAACTACCCCTGAGAAACCATCCCCATGATCCAATCACCTCCCACCAGGCCCCACATTCAAGACTGGGGATTACAATTTTACATGAGTTTTGCAGGGGACACACATCCAGACCATATCAATGGGGTAGCATGA